TCAAACATGTATTTAAAAGCTTCCTGAAAGAAATCTAGAGTACACCAGACTGTTACATTTTGGTATACTGGCTGTGTGTAGGGTGGGGGTAGGTGAAACTTTTAACTTTCTCAAAATATTTTGGCAGTGTCTGAGTGTTTTATTGCATCCATGATTTAAAATGCAAAAAATCAGACACATTTTGAAACCTCATGTGAATGCACCTCAAAATAACTGGTTTGCTCACAGTCAGAGATTTATATTTACAGAAAATGTAAAAATAAGGTCCTAATTACATTTCTTCATCTTCTGTCATCAGTTAGTCATACTGTGGTGGCTTGTGTGTAGCTGTGATGCTGGAAGCTATGCCACTGGTTATTTCAAATACCAGCAGGGTCAGCCACAGCGGACAGGTTTCAGCAGAGCTTTCAGAGTAAGACTAGAAAGAAAGGCTTGGCAGTCTACTTCCAAAAACGAGCCAACGAAAACCTTACGGATCACAACAGAACATCGACTTGCTTGCTATGGACATAGTATCAGGAAGGCTCAATCGCTGGAGGAGGACATCATGCTTAGTGAAGTAGAGGGACGACGAGGACAAGGGAGACTCTCGGTGAGACGGACTGGCACGATGGCCACTATGGACTCGAGCATGCTGGCAACTGTGAGGATGAGACAGGACGGGACAACATTCTGTTCTGTTGTGCATAATAAGGCTGCCACGAGTCAGAGTCGACTCGATGGCAGCTATCTATCCAACTAATCACATTTCTCTTAGGTCTTCTAATAATTCTAGCAAGTTTACCAGATCCCTATGCCAAATAAATCAAACCTGTTGACATTAAGTTAATTGCAACTCATAGCAACCCTACAGGGCAGAGTAGAACTGCCCCCATAGGGTGTCCAAGGCTGTAAATCTTTAAGGAAGCAGACTGCCACATCTTACTCCCACGGAGCGGCTGGTGGGTTCAAACCAGCATCCTTTTGGTTAACAGTCGAACTCTTAACTGCTACACCACAGGTCTCTAGCCAGATTAAATTATGTTACTAGAATGGTACTTGATTGAGAAGTGTCTAATTTCCTCTGTCAGAGGCTCTTATCATTCTGCTTAAAACAAGCAAACGCAGAGGCACACCCAAATCTATCTAGTTCATTTACTCCCAGCTGCAGTGAAGAAGTAATGTGAGGTCTCTTAAGGTCTTTACATGGATGACAAATAAGCAGAGAATAATAAAATTAAGGTTACAAACAATTCACATTCTCTTTAAGACTGCTGACATTCAAGAAGACCCTGGGCAACACTTTGGCGGTACTGAAGAATTCACACGTAGAAGAAAAAGGAGTTAGACTAGATGACTTGTAAGGTCCTCTCTCTGATTCTAAATAAACATGTTTCATTTTAATAGATTAACTGCCTGTACAGCAAGACAAAGAATATAAATTTAACTCATTAAGAGTTTCAGACTATTTTTGATGAAACAGCACTACAGAAAGCGCCAGTTATAAATGGTCTCTAGATAAGAAGGCCTTTACTATTGGTTTGAGAAACTTGGAACAATGTTTCAAATAAAAGGATATTCTACCTGAACATATTATTTATCCTAACTACTACAGTAATTGTTTTACAGCTATCTCAGTACATAGGATAAATCTACAAGTCTGCATTCAACTTAACTAGAAGTTACAGTGATCAACTTGCCTTCACTCTTTTTTTCTGATTCTAACCACTCCCTGAGGACAGTGGTGGTTCAGTGGTATAACTCTTGCCTCCCATGTGGGAGACCAGAGTTCAATTCCTGGCCAACGCACCTCACGCGCAGCCACTACCCATCTGTCAGTGGAGGCTTGCGTGTTGTTGCTCTGACACTAAATAAGTTTCAGTAGAGCTTTCAGACTAAGACAGATTAGAAAGAAAGGCCTGGCTTCCGAAAACCAGCCAAAGAAACCCCTATTTGGCAACTGATCATGGGGATGGCACAGGACGAGGCAGAGTTTTGCTCCATTATAAGAGAAAGGCAGAGGGAGATCTGAGACAGAAGAGGACATGGAGAAGAGAACGGAGCAATGTAAACCCAGGGGCAGAGACTGGAGTCGTACGACAAGTCAAGGAACACCTAGAGTTACCAGCAGCTGACAAAAGCAAAGAACAGATTCTTCCCTAGAACCTCCAGAGGGAATCTGCCCTCAGACATCTTGATTTCAGACTCTGACCTTCAGAACTGTGACAGAATAAATTTTGTTTTTAAGTCACCAAGCTTGAGGTGATCACTAACACCATTACTTGAATCTGTGCCCTCAAAACAGTAGATGCATGTCTCAAACTCATGTCTTCAATGGGTCTCAGACTAAGTGGGCTGCATAAAACTTGTAAAATTCATACTGCTTATTCGCAAAGAACAGACACTAGGTATGGTGAAAAGGGTACCCAGTCGAGATTCAGTACTAATGGGAGACTCTGAAAGAACCTAAAAGGATAAACAAGTTGTTAACAGTAATTTTAGTAACAGTGATTGATTTTTCCCTCTTACAGAGATGCATGTATAAACAATGAAAATAGGGAAGAATAGATGTTTACCTAGAGTCTAATGGAACATCCAAGTATACTTGTTGAAAGCAGGTTGACCAGCCAAGCATAGATCATGAACTTCATGGACCTACATCCCTTCAGCTAAAAAATTCTATTCAAAAGAACATTCTGTCACGCTATTATGAACCATTTTATTTTTAAGCTAGAGTTAAAAAGCATAAAAATGTCATTTTTAAAAATTCTAATTTAAAAATCTTCCTACAACGTATATACTTTAATGGCAACCTTCCTTTCATTTAAAAACTTATATCCTCTTAAATTACTAAAACATCTTCAGAAATGGGACAACAATCTTTTGTATGGAACAAATAAGAGCTTCACTGCCCTTACAAATTAAAGCTGATAAACAATTCCAGGAAAGGAAAGGAAAAAAAAAAAAAAAAACCTAGCCAAATAAGAAAAAAAATCTAAATTTTAATCAAAACATTGCAATGACAAAATCACTGATGAAAAATAATAGGTAGAAAATAAAAATCAGGTGACAGAATTTTCTTATAAATCTTTTTCCTTTGGGTTTTATATTTGAAGACAGCTATTTAATCTTAAAGAAAAACATCAAAAATACTGGAAGGTAGCCTTGCCTGCACAGGAACCTCAGATTCCAGAAAAATATCCTAAGATATTGAAAAAGCCCTGCTCTAGGTTACTAACCAGCAAGCAACTCCTTGTCAATAATAATAAAAGGAAAAGGAATTCTTGGGTCTACATTTTTCCAAAATGTTCATAACCTACACTTGATGATCAGTGAGCAAGCGGTCCTAGGATTCCTAACAAATTTCATCAAGGGACACACATTAAATACATTTTGAATTATACTTGAGGGTCATCAGATACCCTTTTATAAATGAATGAAGATCATCACTAGATACTGGATTCTTATTGGAACAATGGATTGGGGCGGGGGTGGGGGGATCGCCAGATTAATTGGGAGGAAAAAAAACCACTTACTGGCAAATCAAGAAATAAATTCAAGGTTTATACTAAACAGGGTATAAGGTAAGATATGTAATTTCAGAAACAATGTGAAGTTTTACAATCATTTTTTAAAAATAAATTTGCTGAACAGAAAGAACTTCAAGGCTATATTCTACACTATATCATGTGGAACATACTATTCTTTGAACAAAAACATAGTCGAATTTCTTTCTAAGAGGTGATGGATTTTGGACATATTTTCTGAGTCAATACACCAGCCCAGGCAAGCTGTCATACGATGTGAAATTAAATATTGAACCACGATAACACCATAACTTTAGAGAAATCTGGTGATGGCATAGGCAGAAAATGATTAGTCTGAAACAGTGAAAATTTTAAATGAGATTCATCTCAAAAGTCAATTACCAGAAACCATAACTGGAACAGTGGTGTTTCTTTCTATGAAACACTTATACATACTGGCTGAAATTGATGCCCTAGCTTCTCCTATTCCTCTGCCTCTAAACAACTTCCAACTCTGGCAAACTCAGAGTCATCAGGGATCACCAGGAGTGCAACTGCAAACTCAATACTGTAGCTGGCTCAAGGCTGACAACAGGGTGAAAACAGCTGCTCTAGGGAAAAATTTTTTTTAAAAGACAAAGCAATACCTTCCCACCTTCCCCCCGCAAAAAAGAAAAAAAAGACTAACTGGATATTAGGAATAGCCAAGAAGCAATCCTTTGTTTCAGACTAGAAAATAAAGGGAAAATTCATAAATGCGTACTTTTATAAGACTTCAAATAACTAATGTTGAGGGCCTTTTACTTTTATTGTCCCAGTTTTTCAAGTTTAATCTTTAAATTCATTCTCTACAAACAGTACTCAGACAAACGATGAGCCACACACTTAAGCCTAGCCAAAGCTGGCAAGAACTGTAACCACACTAAGGCTTCTACTGTAACAAATGCATTAATTTCCTCACCTAGCTTTCACTCATACTGAGAAAAATACAAAACAAAGTTATATTTTCTGTTCAAACAGTAACATAAGTTTCAAAGAAGGTCTTCTAAGGACAGTTTTAAAAGCATACTTTTCAGTTCAAACACCTCATGTTCCAGCATTACCACCTCCTTGGGCAAAGCGCCAAAAATTGTCAAATGCTCGCCCTACTTACACGCTCATCTAAGCAGGTATCTCAAGACTGTAGGGGAAGGCACTCGTGGGGTCTGCAAGCGGACTATCCACCTGCAGCCTCAGAGCGATGTCATCACAACTTCCTAGTCACCACTTGCAGACGCCCTGGGTGCAGCACTGGGCCAAACCTCAAGGAAGAACGCGAAACTTCATCCACAACGGGAGGCTGGGTGCTGGCACGTGTTTCCTGGGGCTGGATGCGCCAGACAGAACTATCAAGCCCCAGTGGGGTGGGGGGCTGGCTGGTTCGAAGTTGGGAAAAGCGCCCGGGGAGCCCGCGTCACGTGGAGAGGAGCGGAGTCGGCGCGGGGAGAGCCTCACCTGCACCCCGGTGTAGTTCTCGAAGAAGAAGAGCACCATGCTCTGGTACACGCAGTACAGCCGGTCGTCCAGCGCCTGGTAGAAGCCGGCGGGCAGGAAGCAGGAGAGCAGCCTCCAGGCCCCCCAGGCCAGCACGTAGGTGGGCGCCGTGCCCAGCAGCACGGCGGCCGGCAGCACGTAGCGCATGGAGTACGTGTGGAGCACCAGGGACAGCAGCATCTTCACCGCGGCGCCCGCCCAGCCTCGCCTTCTCCAGCCTGCCGGGCGACTCCCCACACTGCCCCGCTCACCCTCGGCCCGCGGCGAGCCGGCGACCGCC